GATGTCAATTCAATTGACTTACTATCGGGGGTCAAAATTTTTCGAATTTTGGGGTAGTTTACAAATGCGCCGTAATGATATATATATGTTGTTATATAACACCTAATATAAACGTTAATCCTAACTGTAAAATCAATGGATTTTGTCTGCGTCACAGTTCTGGCACATTTCAGCTCTACGTAGATTCTTCTATAAGAATTCTAAATTCGGTTACCCTGATTTTAGATTGGAGACAGACAGCCGATTTCCGAATCTGACGGATTCTCCAATCCGGGGTACGACTAGAGATGGACCTCGAAAAAGATGATGACACCATCGCGCAAATTGCGTCATATGATTTCATGCCTCACGCGAAATAAACTTTTAGTTAAGAAATCTTAGCGGCTAGTGAATAAAAAAAAGATTAGAGCTATCACAAAAATCTATGATTCACTGATCTCAAATTTTGGTCTTGGATAAGGTTATCTTATGCTTTACGCGAAGTCATATGGTTTGTGGAATGTATGCTAAGTTTTACCTCGCGTAAGATTCTAAAAATGAGTTCTTATCACATGGCTCGTGCGGATATTGAATACATTCCTATTACTTATGTCATATGATTTAAGTCTTCCTGCTAGTAAATAAAATTGGTTAGTTAAATTACTAAGGGCTGTTTTTGGAACCAAAGAATACGTATTAATTAGGGTTGTTAATGGAGCAATATACTCCCAGCCCAAGTTGGAGTTAACATTAATAGACAGAACTTATCACATAGCTTCGAATGAAATTTTGTCCCGGTACGTACTGATCACTTATTAAAACTTCGTTTATCTAAGTTTTATCTACTTTAGTACTGTATAAGATAAAAAAGGTACGGATTAGATATTAATAAAAATCGGTGTACCCGACCAATCAAAATTTTGGGGCTGGGTTTACATAGATATTCACTTCGTGTGTTGCAGTGTAACTTAAAAGGAAAGTTTTTTTAAATTTGAAAATTTTGGAATATTATTGCATAATTGGTGTACAATACGTACGTACAGACAGATTTATTAGGTGCTGTGCACCCCATAGTATTGATCTGGTCACCCATAACACTAGCCGGGAACATTTGTAATATTACACTTTTTACGTATGAGAAATCTTGTATTTATAATCTATGACGCTACATTTTCTTTTTTGGTATCTGCTATTACAAATGTGACAAATCAATAAAATGTTAGTAAGCGGGTGCACCCTTCAACATGGTAGGCTAAGAAAAATATAAAAGGAGAATGCCAACTTGATGAACCACTCATTAAGACATTTTTAAATTAACAAAATTAACAGTAAAATATACATATATCAATTTGACAATGTCAAGAATTTTGGCAAGAAACATTACTAAATCATTTTATGCAAATGTAAATATTATTATTTAAAAATAAAATTTTTTCTTTTTTAAAAAAAATTTTTTTTTTCTAAAAAGTTTTTTTTTTGTAAAAAAAATTTTCTTTTCTAAAAAATTTTTTTTTCTAAAAAACTTTTTTTTGATTTATTATTATATATTAAAGAGTCAACTAGAAGGTGTCGGAGCTACTGTACGAAGATGCATAAGCGGACGTAATACAATTGATCCATTCTTAATGTGTGATATTTTTGAAGTTTCTCCACCTGCTGGATTTCCTGATCACCCTCATAGAGGATTTGAAACCGTCACATATATGCTAGAAGGTACCAGCGCGCATGAAGATTTTGCAGGAAATAAAGGATTGATAGAATCAGGGTATATAAATATAACATTTAATTTATACGCATATATATATATGTATAGTGTGTCCTCTGCCCTGAAATCAATCCAAGTTACACCTAACTGAAACTAAGCCCCTGAAATAGATCTTGCATTAAATCGTAATTTCGTACAACTTCAGGGCAGGTTACATATATGTATATCTTTATTTGGAGATGGGAACCGAAACCCGAAACTATAAGCTTAGGTTATAGTTTAGGGTTTATGCTTCTAACCTAAATTAAATTTTAGGGTTTAAGCACCCATTTTAATTTTTATTGTTCTATCTCTAATTTTTGTAAATTTATTCTATAGGGGTATACAATGGATGACTGCTGGTCGTGGAATAGGTATTTGCTTTTGAATTAGATCATCTTTCTTAGTAAACGAAGTGTTAATGGTCTCCTGAAAATTTTTTTTTTTTTTGAATAAAAGTGCATGCCGAGATGCCGATAACCAAGTCAAAAGGTAACTAAAATTTTTTTAATTCATTCAAGGTCAATAAAATCAAACGAGATCTTGCTAAAACAATAAAAAATTTTTTAGGAATTCAACTTTGGATTAATCTTTCAGCCAAAAACAAAATGATAGAACCCTCTTTTCAGAATCTTAGTGATGAAAAGATTCCAAGAGCAAATCCTGAAGAAGAAATTGAAGTTAAAGTTATTGCAGGTTCAAGTTTTGGTGTTAAAAGTAATGTATTTACTAGAACCCCAACCATGATGTTAGATTTTAAGTTATCCAAAGGAAAAAAGGTTGAACAAGAGATTCCAAAAGATTATCAAGGTTTTATTTACGTTTGGGAAGGAAGTGCTTATTTTGGTGGAAATCGATTCAATGGACAAGAAAATTACGCATTATTCTTGGATGGTAATAATGGTGATTATTTACCTGTTGATGCGGCAGACGATAATGTTAGATTTATGCTTTTTGCCGGTCAACCTTTAAAGGTATTTTTTTAAGTTTTCTGTTAAATTTAATTCTCATTCATAAATTAAAAAACAATGATTCTCTTTATAAATTCATTTTATATTAGGAACCAATAGTGAGCTATGGACCTTTCGTTATGAATACTGAAGAAGAAATATTTCAAACTATGTCAGATTATAATAGGTATAGTAATGGATTTGAAAAGGCTAGAAAATGGCGAAGAAAATTCAAATTACCCAATGGATCGTACTATTAAATGGAAGTCACCACGGAGAAGTTTTCAATACTATATCGTCAAAGAAGGTGTTTATCCACCTAAATCCTACCTTGCTTACACCAGAGCACCAAATCAATATCCGGTTCCTGATAATTATGTGGTGGAAACAACCTATGGAAAAAAAGAAACAATGATTACTTGTTTCATTAATTATTATAATGGGAAGCCTCGTTATAAAATACAATTTGGATTAAATGAAAATGAATATGTATGTTCAGATCGTTCACCAACGGATGCAGCGAATGCATACCTAAAATCTTATTATGAAAAAATCGCATGTGAAGAAAGGGCTAAAAATCCGAATGTAATATATATATCATACTATTTATATGTATTTAATATATAATTTACGAAAATAAATTTTATTTATATTAATTTAATTAGTTTCAGCAAGCAAAAACTAAAATAAATGGTGTTTACTTATTTGGTTTGCAGTTAATACAAATCAAATTAGTACGGGAAAATCAAAAAAAAACCAAGGAGCCTTAGACCGTTTTCTGAAATTACAAATCAGATGCAATTCAGACGAGGTAGAAACTTTGGCGCAGATATTTCAACAAGCCTTGAAGATCATATAAAACAATATTTTTCTGCAAAAGACAATGTTACAATCAATGAATTAGTTTTTACAGTAAATAATTCAAGATTCCGGATTATATACCAACCTAAAGCTGATGATGAGGTAAACCGTCAATTAGCTATCACATGAGCTTTAGATGATAATAGGATTTCAAGATCCTCATATCGGGCTTTAGCAGCAATATGCCATGAATTACCACGCGATAGAGTTATATTTGAAAGATTAAGTCAAATTAATGCAATCATGGATAAAAATATTCCAATTTATCTAATTAAATTACAACAATTTAAAGATAAATTAAATTCT